GTGCATAGCAGGTGGTGGGGGTCACTGGGGCCGTAGTTGAGGCTGTCCAGCACATAAAAGCAACACAGCAGAATTACTGTGTGGTTAAAGCCATAGGTTCCAATCATCTCACAAGAGAAGGCAAATAGCATTCTTTGCTAAAACTCTCTGGTTTTTCTTCAATTTCAGACTTTAACGTTTTAACATAAATTTATTTAGACCAAAATTTCAGCAAACAGTGTCTAAACAGAGTCGTGCGCATTCATTTGACATTTTGCTGTCATGATGTTATCCATAAATACACACGTGTACCCTGAATTAGTTTTTCATGCTTTACGTTTCCTTTTGGAAGTAGTATGACGACACTGTCATTGCAGCAAAAGACCAGTAGGTGGCTGAACGCAGGAAGACACAAATCACTGCAGTAAAAGTCTTTACAAGTAACTTGTAAAGGACTATGACAACTGGTCATGGAAGGTTATGGCTAGAGATATTCAAAACAAAGTTTGTAATGGTCTTAGGAATATTTTTAAATTTTACAAAGAAACAAAATCTCCATCATACTGCTAGAAGAAGTGTTTATTTGGTATAACCTTCCCTGAGGGCAATTTACCCAATTCCAAAGTATTTAAAATATGCTTATTCTTTGATTAAGCTATCAACGCATAAGTATATGTAGCAATTGATCCAAGACATTTAAAATGAGCTAAAAGATTCATCTACAGCAGCGGTTCATGGTGGGGGGCCACAGGGGAGTGAATGTTGGAGACTTGTTATTGTCACAACTGGAGGGGAAAGGTTGCTACAGGCATCTGGTGGGTGAAGGCCAGAAATGTCACTAAACATTCTACAATGCAGTGGATAATCCCCCACAACGAAGAATTATCTAGCCCAAAATGTCAATTGTGCTGAGACTGAGAAACCTTGGTCATAGATAGAAGCATGTATCCCCTGGTACTGTTCACAAGAGTGAAAAACAGAAAAACACCCTAAATGTCTAAAAATAGGGGACTAGTTCAATAAGTTATGATGAACCATTCATATAGTTCAGTCATTAAAGGGGATGTTGCAGAAGTATACTTATTGTAACAAAATATTCTGTGAATAAAGCAACTTACCAAATCCTGTATAGAATATAACGAGATACATACACACTTGAAGGTATAAACAGTGGTTTATTTCTGACTGGTGGCATTTTCTTCTTTTGTGCATCCTTTTAAATTGTACTTTTTCTTTAATGAACATCTTACATCTAATATTAAAATATTACTTATTAAATTAAGATTTGGGGACTATAGCAGCTGCTAACTTTCAAGAGAAAAACACAACAAAATATTTGAAACTGCTTATCAACTTAAAAATAGTGAGGTTTTCATTACATTTGTCTCATATTATCTTAACCAGCTGTTTCCTTAGTTCCAGTCACATCAACAGTTTTTCCCATGCATTCCTGGCCACATTTTGCCTTTGTCTATACTGAAATTCTTTTTCTACGGTCAGGGAAGTTAATTTGTTCTCCATTTCCTCAAGTGCTTGAAGGGGAATGCAAGCCTAAGAATAGATGCAGATATTTTTTATTGGAACAAATCACCAATGGCCTTCTCAAGCACTCCATCATTGAATTTCTGCTTGTCCTCTGAGCATTGGTAAAATGGGAATGCTGCTGTAAGCTGTGAAAATGCGCATTCAACCGAAGGGCTTGTATGCATGCATATAAGCATAACCAATGGACACAAGACACTGGGGGGTAGGGGAGGTCGGGGGGGGGGGATGTCGGGGGGGGGGGGAAGGAGACATATGTAATACTCTTTGTATTACTTTAAGCAATAAAACAAAATTAAAAAAAAAGAAAATGCGCATTCACCTTCAGTACCAATGCAATGGTGGTTGGTCACATCCCGGGGAGCTTAGGCAATTGCACTTTTGTTTGCTGATAACCATGCACTGCTAAGTGAAAGCCCTAAATTATGAAGTCTCATTTTGGTTACAGCCAATACAGCAAGAATGCAGATTTTTGTTTTTCGGCTGGAAATTCTACTAATATTTACAGCCAGTGGATGACATTTTAGAATAACTCTACTGGACAATATCCACATTTTCACACGTAAATGAATTGTCAAATGTCAGCAAAATCTAATATATATATATATTCGTTGTAAGCCAAAGAAAGCCAGTTATCATCCAATAAGTAAATCAATGCTATTATTTTATAAGCATTTTAAATATAATTTCCTTCCAAGGAACAGAAGAGAAAGGTTCGAGAAAGAGTCCTAACTGGAGGGGTCAGAGCTGTCATTCACCAATTCCTGTCTGAGCAAATGACTCTTCTGCACTCAGTGGTTCACATGTAAACTAATGAGATTATTTACTCTTCCTTCTGCCCTGTACTTCATTCTATTTAAGCAGCCCTTCATATTTAGGGACAGTAACACCTTGATATAACGGACTAATTCCAGACGAGGAGGTGTCCGTTAAAAGCAAAAGTCCATTATGTAATAAAGTAGGTTTTTCGAAAGGGTATGTTTAAAAATGGACAAGTTAGTTAGTTTACCTGTTTTTACTTACGTAGGCACGTCTGTGTAATTAGAATTGTGTACGAAAAGTTTAATTTCACACAAAGGTTTTCTATATGCATTACTGTAATTTTAAATTTATGCTGAACAGGTGTAGTCAATGCGTGACTTCACCAGTCACCACAAGTAAACAAACGCACAGACTGGCATGTGGCTTAGCGCAGCAAGGGGCAACATCGAACAGGCCCACGTTAAAACTGCTGCAGAAAGTCCACAACAGAACCAATGCCGAGTGACCGCGTGCTAACGGTTCGCCGGACACTGTTTATTAGCCGTGCCTCTTGGATATAAGTAGGCAGACTACAGTTGTAGAAAGGTGATATTTATGTCGGCAAAATTACTACAATGGTTTTCCCAACACATGGCCTTGTTGCTAAAATGTGTTAGAAATAACAGCGAATGAATAACAAAAAAATAACCTGTTAATTTAATTATAAGCAAATCTTGGTTTAAAGCATTTTAAAATTAACAGGGGTGTTAATTTTCACAGGACATAGGGATAGGAAATTTTGTCTGTTAAATCAAAGTCCGCAAAATCGAGGGTTTACTGTATCTATGTCCCCACTACACTCCTGGCCGCCTAGGTCAGTTGACTACTCTTGGCTTTTCCACTGTACTTTGTCCCATACGTGATTATGAATAGACTAGAGGCCTGATGCACGAAATTCGTGCAAGAGTAGGCCTTCCGTCCCCCGGCTGCCGGCACTGGCTTCCCTTTGGCACCCGGGACCCAGGCTTCCCTCACAGGCCCAGCTTCGTCAGGAAGGACGTCTGGTCTAATTAGCATATTATGCTTTTACTAGAGGCCGGCCCTCAGCCCAGCCTGTGTCCTCTCACATTCTGGGAGCCCTCGGGGGATGTCTGACTGCTGTGGCGGTGGGACAGGCTCCCGCCACTGCCCCTGTGCTCGCCAACCGTGAGCCCAGCTCAGGGCTTCTGGCTGAGCAGCACTCCCCCTGTGGGAACCCACTGACCACCAGGGGGCAGCTCCAGCATTGAGAGTGTGCCCCCTGGTGGTCAGTGTATCTCATAGCGACTGGTCGTTCCATCGTTCAGTCGATTTGCATATTAGTCTTATATTATATAGGATTATTATAGATACTCAGTATTAGGGGGATGTTGAAGGGTCCTATCCAACATTACTTTATAGGAAGAGAGCGGAGATAACATGTCTTAGAATCAGGTAGATAGTCTGAGTCTCCAGATGTACAACCTGCTCCAGGAAAATCCAGGCAGCCACACATTTTCGCCCTCATTTTCCTGGAAGGGGAGAACGGAAGATACAGTGGTTTCTTGAAAAAGATGTAGATGCTTATAGAGGTCTGGGAGGCCAAAGGATATTTCAGGCTATGAAAAATAACTACCTATTAATTTTAAAAAATATCATGCCTCGGTTATGGGAAGCATTTTTCCTAATCCCCATGTGAGTTAAACTCAGAAAACTTACCCACTTAGAGAACGAGTGACTCGGTTTGCATGGGAAGCAAGTTTTGCACTGTAAAAACCACAGGAGTCATTTCGCCAGAGGTAAGTTCTCCAGAAAGAAGTTTCTCAGGTTTTAGGGCAGGTCGCATTTTCCCTGTCCTGGTACTGAGCTGGCGCTGGCGCGGGGCGGGGGGAGGCGGGGCGGGGCATCTTCAGGGACTTTGACTCCGCCAGGCCGACAGGGGGCGCCCGAGTCCGCGCTTTTCCCGCCAACCCCTGCGGCGCTCCAGCTCCGACTCGCGCAGCCGCCTCTAGAGCCACCAGCGCCAACGGGGCCATTCCTCTTCCGGGGCAGCGCGGAGAGACGTGCGGGACCCGGAAGCAGACGCGCGCGCAGCTATATAAGCACCGCGCGCGCTACACGCCTTTCTCTTTGAGGAAGACGTGGTTGCAGTAGTGCAGCTCCGTCCTGCCCGCTCCTGACTCACCGCTGTTCGCTCTCGCCGAGGAACAAGTCGGTCAGGAAGCCGCGCCGCAGCCATGGTGAGGCGGAGGGCGGCGCCGCGCGGTGGTGGCGGTCGCGGGACTCGGGCCCGCGCCTCGCTCGCTCCTGGGGACGGATGCCGGGCTGGGGGGAGGCGGTGAGTAGACGAGACTCACTAGTCCCGGGCTCCCGGCAATGGCGGAGGAGCCCGGGAGGCTTGTGCTGACGCTCGTCCCCAGACGCGGCAGACCTGACAGAATTCCTCTGCTGTTGTTCTCCCTCGGGCCATAGGCGTTTAAAGACACCGGGAAGACGCCCGTGGAGCCGGAGGTGGCGATTCACCGGATCAGAATCACGCTGACCAGCCGCAACGTCAAGTCCCTGGAGAAGGGTCGGTCGCTTCGGGGGGAGACATGGGGCCGGGAGGGTCACTCGTTCTGGGCAAGATGGACCCGGAAGGAAGGTGGCCGGGTCGCTTGCCTTTGAGGAGACAAAAGGTTATAGAGATTTCATTTTCACCGTGTCGTGCACCCCGCGGTTGGCGATGAGGAGACGGTTGCTCGTTGAGTGGCGGTGATAGTTCTGTACGCTATTCTGAGCCGGCGGCGGGCAGCGTTTCCTGGGGGGGGCTGGCCGTTTCGAATGAACTCAAGGGCGTGCTTTCTCCGTAGTGTGTGCGGACTTGATCAGAGGCGCCAAGGAGAAGAATCTCAAGGTGAAGGGGCCCGTGCGGATGCCGACCAAGGTGCGTGAAGTGAATCGCGCTTGCTGACGAGGGTGGCTGTGGGGGGCCGGGGCCTGGCTTGGGAGGCGGGGTTGGCAGCCCGGAGCTTCCTCTGCAGGTGGGGAGTGGGGGCCTCCTGGCCGCTGTTGCTGGGGGCGGGGGGTCGGGGGGTGCTGCGGGGAAGGGGCTCGCTGTGAACTGAAAGCCTCTGGAACCTGCTGTGGGGAGGAGGGAGCCTAAGGGGGAGCCCTTCAGCGTAGCTTCCAGGTGCCCCGGCCATGAGCACAAAGCCGTAAACGCCTGGCTTCCTTCCTTCCTTCCCTGCAGACGCTGAGAATCACCACAAGGAAGACGCCCTGCGGGGAGGGGTCCAAGACCTGGGACCGGTTCCAGATGCGGATCCACAAGCGGCTCATCGACCTGCACAGCCCCTCCGAGATCGTCAAGCAGATCACGTCCATCAGCATTGAGCCGGGGGTGGAGGTCGAGGTCACCATTGCAGATGCGTAAATCAGGCTTTGTAATAAATTGGCTATTCGTTGTTTAAGCTTTGCTGACTTTTATTCGTGATGGTGGCAGATCCTAGGGGTATCGGTTTGTAGTATAAAAGGTTTCTGGCATGGTTCTAAAGTGCACAGTGGATGTGATGTGAGCTTCCTTATATGACTATAAGATGATTAGTAGAAATGACGTCCATAGTTATAGGAGGACTTACTCTAATTCTGGCTAGAGATCTGAGAACGTTGGCGTGAACAGCTTTGTAAAAGTGTAGGATTTTTATTTTAAAATGACTACAGAGACAACACATTTTTTCTTTTGGTAAGGAGTTCTGATGAAGTCTCCCTTTTACTCTCAAAAATGCCCTAGACTAGTTCTGGCCAATGTGGCGCAGTTAGGTGGAGCATTGTCCTGCACACCAAAAGGCGGTGGTTGGATTCCTGGTCAGGGCACATGTTGGGGGCGGGTGGGCTGATGGGCATTTCATATGGACGTTTCTCTCTTTAAAATAAAAATGCCCTAGCTTAGATGCTAAATAATAGACACCCCACAGTTAGATTCCTTTCTGCTCTAAGTCCTAACTGCCAGCTAGTTAGGATTGTAACAATTTCCTAGATGAAGCGTTAAGAGCCAATGGTGATTCATATTGCAGATGTCAAAACTTCTTTTTCCGATCAGAGAACAGGTCACAGGGCAAGCCACCATCCCCAAATCTAGAGAATTGGTCACAACCATAGGATGCCTGGAGCAGAAGCTGCTGTCAATCTTGTTGGCGACTGAAACAATTTTGACTATTGGAGGCTGCTTGCAGACTGGCATGAAAGTGAAAACTATAATCATGGTGAAGGGCCCATACTTAACAGATTTTCCCTCAGGGGACCCCCCCAGGTAGGTTCCCAGAAGGGTTCCAAAAAGCTCCCTGAGTGAATGAATTGTCTGGGGTAAACGGCCATAGGGAAACACTGAGCCCCTTCTCCCTAACAAAGGCCTGACCTCCAAGGGAAGGGACTGAAGAGTCAGTTCTGAAACATCCCATCCAAGGAAGAGAACCCAGCCCTGATTTATCCTTCAGCCTTTCAGTCTCAAGGAAAACTAAAATTTATAGTCGGCAGGGATTTTGGAGGATGCTGAAGCTAGGAGAGGGGCTGGGAGTAAAAAACGGAAAGCTATACTGGGAAGAGGGGTCAGATAATGCTTCTGACCCACACCCCTGAGATGGGACAACTAAAATACTGAGACTTGATTAGAAAATTCCCTATTGACCCATGACCTAGCACTTCATAAAAAGTAGTAACTAGTAATAATGGATTAGAGCTGAGAGCTGCAAGACAGTAATTCAAGAGAAGTCCCAAAATCAAGAGAGGAGGAAAAAACCCCACTAGAGGAATTTGAAGCCTATTCGTGCTTATAGTTGCAACAAACAGTAAACACATTCCAGCTCCTAGCCAGAGTAACAAACCCTTACATAAATGACCTATTTACCTCCGTTTTATTACCTGGTAAGACATCCAGATTTCAAGTTTTAAACATTTCAAAGTATGCCAGAAGGCAAGAACACTGACAGAAATAAAGCAGCCATCAGAACATATATGACACTGATAATGAAATTATGGGAAAGGTAATTAGAAATAACATGCATGTGGGAAAGGCTCATGGAAAAAGGTAACACTTATGAACATGGATAATGGAAACTAAAAAGGAATCAAAACTGCTAGAAGTCAACATCACAGTAACAATGTCTTTGATGGGCTCATCAGTGGACTAGACAGCAGAGGAAAGTCAGTGAGCTTGCTGATAGGTCAATTGAAACTTCTCAAACTAAAATTTAAAGTGGAAAAAACAGAGCCAAACATCTAAGAACTATGGGATAATTATAAAAGTTGTAACATGCATAATTGGAATGCCAGAAAGAAAGAATGGAGAAGAAATATTTGAAGTAATATCTGGTAGTTTTCCAAAATTATTGACAGACACCAAACTACAAATACAAGAATTTTAGAGAACATCATGCCAGTTAAATACCTAAAAATCTATAGTTAGGTATATCCTCTTCAAACTAGAAAAAGCAGACAAGAGAAAACGGAAAGAATCCATGGGCAGGTGGGAAGGAGGGTGTGTGTGTGTGTGTGTGTGTGTGTGTAACTTGCCTATAGAGGAACAAGGATAAGAATACAGCAGCTTTCTCTACGGAAGCCATACAAGCAAGAAGAGAATGGAGTAAATCTTTAGTGTTGAAAGAAATTATCCTTTAAAAATGAAGGAGAAATCCAGACTTTTTCAGACTAACAAAACCTGAGGGAATTCATTGCCAACAGACCTTCCTGGAAAATTAGAAGAAAGTTTCAGGCGGAAGGAAATTATATAGGTCAGACCCAGATTTATATAAAGAATGGAAGAATATAAGGAAAGGAATAAATGAAGGTAAATCGATTTTTTTCTTTTTCTTATTTTTAATTGATCTAAAGATAACTGTTTAAAACTCATGGATACAGAGACTGACGGTTGCCAGAATGGAGGGGGTTTTGTGAAAAAAGGTGGGATTAAGTACAAAGTGGTAATCATAAAACAGTCTTGGGGATGTAAGTTCAGCATGGGGGATACAGTTAATAACACTAATAACTATGTGTGGTGCCAGGTGGGTACTAAACTTACTGGGGCTGGATGGGGAATGCATTTTCGCAATGAAATAGCCTCGCCATTTACATGAGCAGCGGTTCAGATATAGAAACAGTTCGGTGCTCTCTTTTCTGTGATACATTACTTGTACTGAAACGCTATTTGACATCAGTCAGGGACCTGAACCAGGTTAAGAAGGTGCCAAAGGGAAAAAATAAAATAAAATGACAAAAAAGGAGAGAAGGTGCCAAAGAAGAAATGTTCTCTTCTTGTGGAGGGTAAATATACAGGAAAGTTTTTATCTCAGAACTCAGAGGTTCCCCAGTCCTTTGCAGGTCTGTATCCTGTGGGCCTCTCCACAAACAACCATGCCATCATTTTTGTATTCAGATGAGATCAAAGAGGATAAACATTCTACGTAGTGAGCTGTAGTAAATGACATCATTTAGTCTGTACAAGGACATTAATCTCTGCAATTATACTTCCCTATAAAAATTGGCATTCACAAATGTCTTGCCTTCTTACTCCTTCCCCCTCATATACATATGAATGCCTTTAGCTTTCCCAGATACCTCTTGTCTTCACTTAGTTGGCTTACCATGACTCTCTCTTGTGATTCTGGGAGTCACTGGTTGGGCTAATGTGGACACCCTTTTTTCTATAATTACACAGAAAAAGCTCAACCTTCCCCAAGTTGGATCTAAAAATTCTATCATTTGATGGTGGATGCTACTGAATTGATTTAGCCAACACATGGTAGGTTATCAGATACAGAAACAGGATGCCTGATGAACTGTTAGCATTTTCCATTCTCTTCTTCCTCTTTTACTATTTTTTAAAGGCCCCTTTTCTTTTCATTCCCCTGCCAGCTCCTCAATAATTAGCTGCTTTTTAAGTAAGCAGTTGAAACAGGTTGGAGAATCAAGGGCACAAACTGAACCAGCTTCCTCTATTCCTTTCCTCCTGCATCTTGTGGCTGTCCTTCGTGGAGATCTGTGGTCAGGATGTCCTGGACATTGAGGGAAGAGAAGGAGCCCCACCAAATGGGACTAGTTGCTTATTTTCTTTGTCTTCCTTTAAAGTTCCGTGGGTGTTGTGAAGGGCGAGAGCTGTATGCTGTAATAATGAAATAAATCTGGGATCATGTTCAGCTCTCTTCTCTTCAGAACCAAGGGGAATTGTACCACCCCCTTGCCTCCATTTCATTTCCTCATGCCTTTCGAACACAGCGGCTATGGCATTCCTTCTCTTTGCCTTTTATCTGGGACTGGAGAGCGTGGTGCCCTACCCTGGCACTGCCTGGCCCCTTATAAGGAGTAGTGGCATTAAGACCAGCCCTCAGGACCTCTCCACCCACCCTGCCCCTGTCTCTTCAGTTCTGCAGGAGGTCCCAGAACTCACTCGCGGCACAATATCTTTGTATGTTCGTTATTAATCCCAGGAACTCAGAATTGGTATGAAATTTATTACAGCAAATTTTAATCATCACACAATTTAACTGCAACTTTGAAGAGATTCCTGAGGGCAATTTTTTTTTTACTTGAAAATTTACTAAAATAGCCTCCTTGGTCATTAATCTGCCTGTGTAGTTGGTGGAAATGTATTCACACCTGCAGTGATGTATACTTCAGATCTCATTCAATTATAAAACTGTTACCTTGCCTGGCCAGTATGGCACAGTGGTTGAGCATCAACCTGTGAAATAGAAGGTCACGGGTTTAATTCCTGGTCAGGGCACATGCCCAGGTTGCTGGCTTGATCCCCAGT